ATTTGTTCCAACTCGATCTCGATTTAAAAAAAAAAAAAGCTCATATTGAATTGAGATGGATTGAAATTTATTTAATATGAATTATTTTGATATTTTCTATCAATTAATATATTTTGGTACAAAATTTATTTAATTAAAAAAATAATAAAAAATAAAAACAAAAAAAAATCAAATGAGGTTGTCACATAGACACCTTCATTGGTTTCTTTTTTTCACAAAATTAATTTAAGAAAAAAATATAAAACAAAAAAACCAAAAAAAAAAGAAAAGGATAAAATTGAAAAAAATAAAAAAAAATGAAGCTCATTAGGGCATTACGAGTTGAGTTTAAAATCTTAGTATCTTAAATTAAGGTATCATAATAACTTTATTAATAAAAAAAAAAAAAAAAAAGAAAAATAAACAAAAAGAAAAGAAAAACAAATAGAGAGGTTTATTTAGGTGTCATATAAATATCAAAATTGAATTTAAAATGTTAATATCTTAAAATAAGATATAAAATAATAACTTTATTAATATAAATTTAATAAATAATTAATATATATTTTTATTTACACCACGAGGTGACTTAAGGCTGAGTACCGACTTAATGTGTTTTTGATCTGCATCAACTTTTTCAAAAGATGATCCTACTTGACTCAATAATATTTTACAAAAATGTTCATATCGAATCATATTAAAACTCATTAAATATAGATTATTTTGTTATCCCTACTAACCGGTTTATTTGTTATAAAATTTATATAATTAAAAAAACACAACAAACAAACAAAAATACTAAAAGAAATAAATAAATGAGGGTGTGATGTAGACACCTCAATTAACATTTTCTATTACAAAATTTATCTAATTTTAAAAAATAATAAACAAAAAGCATAAAATGAAAAATGAAAAAAAATCACCTACTATTTGATTGAGTTGAGTCAAAATTTATAGGATACGAATGGTTTTGTCATCCGTATTTATCGACTTTTTTTGTTGTAAAATTATATAATTTAAAAATGGTGAAAGGAAAAAAAAATTAAGGGTGCTAAGTAAATACTCCCATTAGTTTTTTTTCACATAATTTATCTAAATTAAAGACAAAAAAAATAAAAAACCAAAAAAGTTTATAAAAGACAAAAAAAAAAAAAAGGGAAGAAAGAAACATAGAGTGACATTTTGACATTTTGATTGAGAGTAAAACAAATCAAAATGAGTAAAATTTATTTAATGGATGAATGAATAAATCATATCTTAATTATGTATAAATATATTATTTTTATTAAATTAAGATATTAAATAATAATATTATTAATATAAATATATAATTAAATAAATAATTTAAAATATAATTTTATATATATGCTTGGAGCAAGACAAAATATCCTAAATTACCTCCAACTAGATACCAATTTTAAAAATGAAAAAATCTCGATTTGGTCTTGGATTTTTTAAAGAATCCGCACATATTAGATCGGGATTAATTGAAATTTAAGAGATATTGATTGTTTTGTCATCTATAAATCTATTAATTCTTGTTTACAAAATTTATCTAATTAAAAAAAATAAAAATATGAAAAAAAAATGACGGAAAAAAGAGCAAAATGAAGATGCTATGTGAATTTATTAAATTAAAAGTGTTAAATAATACTTTTATTAATATAATATATATAAATATAAAATTAAATAAATAATAAAAAATATATTTTTATATATTCCAGCAAGGCAAAGCAACCAAAACTCGCATCTGATTTGATTATAATTTTTTAAAAAATTTATTTGATCCTAGATTTTAAAAAAATACCTATCGGATTCGAACAAATCAAAATCTATCGCATATAAATTATTTTATTATCAATACTTCCATTGACATTTAAAAAAAAATCATTTTAGGTGTCTTTTATTACAAAATTCATTTAATTAAAAAGCAAAAACAAAAAGAGACGAAAGGCAAAAAAGAAAAAAATGCTATATGTACACATCTATTTTTTTTTTCAAAAATTAGATCTAATAAAAAAGACAAAAGCAAAAAAAAAAAAGAAAAAAAGAAAAAGAGTTGAGTTTTTTTCATTATCCTTAAAAAATAAATAAAAAATATTTATTACATACAAATAAAAAATCACATAGAAAAAAATATATAACAAAAAGAAAAAGTAAATAAATTATTAAAAAAAAATGCATATGGCAGATGTGAAGATGAAAAAGAAACGTGTAGATGGGTTGTTTGAACTATACGGTAGGAGGAAGCTTCTTTCACATGAGTGGATCACTCGAATGGCTTACTTGGACAAGCATTAGCGAGGGAGACAGAATTTAGCTTCTGATAGAGTTAACTTTACCCGTGGCTGCAGCAGTATCTGTTGCTTATATATGTATGGCCTTACAAGAAATAAAATCACTAAACTTAAAGCGAACCAAACTCTTTCTAAGGTTGTGGATTGCCAATTTCACATTGTTGTGGTGCTTTCAACTTTGCTATGAGTTCTTAGACTTTTTGACCATTTGGCCATAAGTTTTGCCTCGAGATAACATCAAGTGACGGATTCATGCTTCAAAGGTAAGATATTTATGGATATCTTTAAAAATTAAAAAAAAAAAATTTTAAACATCTTCAAAAAAAATTTTTGAACACGTTTTTTTTTTTTCAATAAAATTAATAATTTTTTTAATATATGTTACAAATAAACATCTTTAAAAAAATTCAAGATTCTATAACATAATGATAAAATGGGTAGAGATGCAATTCTTATTCATACTCAATAAAAAATTATATTTTTTTTATTTGAATAGAGATAAAGATGAATATTATATTGTAGATATAGAGATAAAGATGATAACAAGATGTATATGATTTTAAATTTTTATTAAGTATAAGGATGAGAATGGATAATATAATATTCACCCCGTACTTGTATATATTTATATATATTAAGTAAATAATTTTTTTTATTAAATAATATAAGTTATTATTTTAATTAATTAGAATTAATATATTTTTATTAAAATATATATTAGTATATATTTATAAAAAATTATTTAAATATATAAAATAAAAATAAAATTTAGTTTTTATTTTTTAAAAAAGTATGGGTATGAGGATTACTTACACCCATTAAATATCTGTCGTACTTAGAATAAAAATAAATTTAAAATATCTTTTGAATTGAGTATAAAGATAGATATAATATAAAATTTTGATAACAAAAATGGAAAATATTCTACTATAACCATTAATATGGGCAATCTTCAATTGCAGGGTTTGCTTAATCTTACTTCCTATGATCTTACAAAAAGTACATCATGCTTTTAATAATCATCAAGTTGAGTTCGATGAATATACGAAGCTTTGGCAAATTCCCCTTTCCAAGTATCCCCATCACCAAAAGGTAAATAGAACCACAACCTAACATTAAATAAATTACCGGGTGATGTTAGATTTCTTGTTCTAGTTTTTGGCGATATTTATATTTCAGATCACTTACCTAATTAACTTGTCAGTGGATTATTAATTCATTACTTTTAAAAGAAAAAATACGACACTTAGTAGGATCTCTTAATTACAAAGACTTTTGCATTATCAAAGTCTAGGATTTAAGCCCAAAAATAAAGGGGTTGGTAGGCAATTCATGATAGTGTTTAACTAGTTAATAGAACAGTGGTCAATGTATTATTTGTTATCTACTTTCTGTGCCGGCATGATTTTAGAAAAGATGTCTTTGTTCTGGATAAACAAACAATGATGAATTATGGAGACAATAGGCAAAGCAAAAGACCAAAAAGCCAGCCACGAACCTCTTTCTGCTTGGCATTTCCAGCCATTTCCAAAAACTCTGTCATGAATCAATGATGCACCCACCAATCCAACGCATTCCCGGCTGCCCCTCTTTTACTTACGAAATATTATTAAATGATATGATATGGAAATGATATGTGTTAAAATTTTAATAAAAATAATAAATAAATTTAATAAAATTAAAAATATATTATATATTTTCGTATTAATATAAATTATAACATAATTTTTATATAAATATAATATAAATATATAAATTATTAATATTTTATATTATATAAATACACGATTTAATAAATCCATACAAATTGTAGAGAAAGAAGTGAAAGAAAGCTGATGGCCATGGGCCCTTCAAACCTGCTAGGGAAGGCTGAAAAATGCAAAATCGAATTGTTGAATTTGGAATGGAGAGCAAGGCAACAAGAAACGTAGCGGCACATGACTTGACCCCACCCACAGCATCAATGATTCTAAAAGCTTGGATTGTATATGAAATGATTGCTATCATGTAAGGTTTAGTTAAAGTTTAAGCAAGTTTGAAGCAAGATGGCCCACCTCTCTCTCCGAAACTGCTATCAAGAGTTTTCCAATGGCACGTAATGCTTGTCTAAAACACACGCCTCCTGGCATCAATTCTGGCCACTTTTATTATTTGCAGGGCTAACTAAAGGCTAATAAAATTGTCTCTCAACAAACTGATATAGGTTTGGAATTTCCTTTAGGTTTTACTCTTTCATCATTTTTTTATTATTTAAAAATTATGTATCCATATTTATTTATTTTATATTAAATATAAATAAAATATAAAATTATTATATTATATTTTATATCAATATATTAAATATAAAATATATTTTTTAATTTTTTCAAACTCACATTTGATAATTATTAAAATTTTAAATCATATTATTTTTATTTTTTAATTTTTTCATATTATAATACTGTTCATGTTTAAAATTAATAAATGTACAAGTAAGCAATCACAAATGTGAAAAAAAATTAATTTTTATGGGCTTTAGTAAAGCCCAAATTCGATCCATCCAATAACCATTTCAAAGATTATTATAAAATCAATCAAACCCAATCCAATCATAAAGAAGAAAACAGGACGAAAAGAACAATTCATCAAGAGGCCCAAGCTAGAAGATGAGAACGCCGAAGAAGTTTGCCAGGCAAGCGCCCTGTCACGTTCGCGATAAACACGCAACTCCGACTCCTTTGTACTGGAGCAGGTTTTTTTTATTGAAAAGTCGTTTAAAAATGACGATTATGGAAATCCAGAATGTAATAATATGAAAACTATATATATAATAGTAACCAATGCTTATCCGCAAATCCTACTTTTACTTATCGCTCTCTACTTCCAGCCCGCTATCATTGCTTTTGCCCAAGTTCGTACCTTTGAAGCATGTCATTAATGGCAGCAATTCTCCGTCGAAAGCTTCATCACGGCCGCTCGGCCGTCCTTTTCCAAATAAGGATACTCTCTTCTTCCACTTCTTACTTCGAAACGATGTCGCGGCAGCAGCGCATTGAGAAAATACTTGTGGCGAACCGAGGCGAGATAGCATGCAGGATCATGAGGACAGCGAAGCGTCTAGGCATTCGGACCGTCGCGATTTACAGCGACGCCGATAAAGATTCTCTCCACGTGAAATCGGCCGACGAGGCGGTTCACATAGGTCCATCCCCCGCTCGGCTTAGTTACTTAAACGGCTCGTCCATTGTCGAGGCGGCGATTCGCACCGGTGCACAGGTAAGCAGCTCGAACTCCAATTATTTTGATATGCCACGATCATTTAAATTACTATCTTAAATTTTTTAAAATATAATCTCAATAAGGGATGTTTAGTTTGATGAGTTTAAGCATTTTAGGCTATCCATCCTGGTTATGGTTTTTTATCGGAGAGCTCTGAGTTTGCTAAACTTGTTGAAGATAAGGGCCTTACATTTATTGGTCCTCCTGCGTCTGCAATCCGAGACATGGGTGATAAAAGGTACTGTTACTATTACGATCCGCCATTATTTAGAAGCATTTGTGCTTATTAGTTGTTAATGATGTTTCGATTGTGTTTATTAGTGCCTCGAAGAGAATAATGGGTGCGGCAGGGGTGCCATTGGTGCCTGGATATCATGGCAATGAACAAGATATCGAAATTATGAGGTTGGAGGCAGATAAAATTGGATATCCGATCTTGATAAAGCCGACTCATGGAGGTGGAGGAAAGGTGTACCCATTTTGTTTCCCTTTGTTGTTCATTTCATTGTTGTTGGATTTGTTGTTTCTTTTTGAAGAATGGTGTGAATTGTGAGCTCAATTTTTTATCATTGATTCTGTTCCATATGGTTTGTTTGGAATCATTGAATTTATGATATAAAGGATGTCATTAGTCATTGAATTTGTGATATAAAGGATGTCATTAGAATTGTTGAAATATAGTTTTATCCAGATGAGGTTCTTACCATGTTTATATTTTAGGGCATGAGAATTGTACAAAGTCAGAATGATTTTGTTGACTCCTTTTTGGGAGCACAACGCGAAGCTGCTGCATCTTTTGGCATAAACACAATTTTGCTGGAGAAATACATAACACAACCAAGACACATAGAAGTTCAGGTACCATTAGGGCTAGTAATGCCCTTATTAACTTTTGGCTTTTCATTTGGTTGTACTTGATTATTAAAGCTCCATATTTGGAAAAATTAGTTACAAGATAATGTCAAGTATTCTGGAAGCTTTACGACATGTTGGCAAATGTAATAAGCTGCATAGAGAAGATGCCTGTGATAAATTTCATCATCTATTGGTTTTTTGTATTGATCAAAAGCTTGTCTCCTGCTTGATGTCAGTAGATATTTGGTGACAAATATGGCAATGTACTGCATTTATATGAGAGAGATTGCAGTGTGCAAAGGAGACATCAGAAGATAATTGAAGAAGCTCCAGCTGTAACGCCGCTTTCTATATTTTTCAGTTCAAGTCTCTTGTTGTAGATCTACAAAAATTTTGATTGAAACTCCATCAATGCAGCCATGTGTTACAGATGAATTTCGCTCACACTTGGGTCAGGCTGCTGTATCTGCTGCTAAGGTGATGTCTTTCAAAATCATTTTGCTGATAATTGTCGATCTGCAGTTGCAAATGTTGTTATAGATGACTATTATTTCTGTTTGCTTGATTTTTTTTTTAGTAATGCAAATATTTCTGAATGTAATGAAAGTTTTATGTTGTTAAAATTTAAAAGGATCACCAATGGCAAGGCTGGGCCAAGGAGGCCCTATTGCCTCCAAGATTTTTTAAGAAAGAAAAGGTTAAAACGTTGAACTTTATCACAATGAACTATCTTTTGATTGAAACTTATCCTGTTACTGTAATTGTAATATAAAAGAACATGCAGTTAACTACTTTCAAGGTTGTTTGATTAGCTAATCCTTTAGCTGCCAGTGTGACAACTAATGATTCTTGCTGTTGTTTTTGTGGCTAATTGGAGTTAGAGAAACCCTAAGTGTTGATTGCTTCTCTCATGAATTTACTTCTCATATTTATTACTTTTCTTTAATTCTTGCTTATTTTGTATTGCTTTTCATGATGCAAAAGATTTTGGGCATCCTGCTTAGTTTAAGTATTAAGTTTTAACTGCTATAAATGATAGACTGATCTCTGGTGCATGTGATATTTAAAAGGCAGTTGGTTATCACAATGCTGGCACTGTGGAGTTTATAGTTGATACTGTAACAGGTCAATTTTACTTTATGGAGATGAACACCCGACTTCAGGTGCTTGGATCACTCTTTTTCTTTCTATCTTTGATTCCTCAAGGCTCAAGCCTTGACAAGACACTAACAGAGAGCATCCATGTTTATTTACAGGTTGAACATCCTGTGACTGAGATGATTGTTGGTCAAGATCTTGTGGAGTGGCAAATTTGTGTTGCAAATGGGGAGCCTCTTCCTATAAGTCAGGTGCAGGTGCCCTTATCAGGTCAATCTTTCACCCTTTGAATAGATCTACTTGTATGATTTTGCTGTTGCTGGTCCTTCCTGTTCTATCTTTGAGTTTTGAAATTGTCATTTGTGTTTTTTCTACTTGAAATTGTGAAGAAGGTTGCATGTGCATGTGCCTTTTTTATGTTTTTATCTGTCCCTTTTCATAATCATTGAGGAATTGACTGGGGAAATACTGTAGGGTTAGAATTAGGATCCTGTTTGCTAATGGGATAGTAATAATTGTTATTATTCTTCAATATCATTATAACTTTAGGCGTAAAAACTTATTTGATCATATATGATGTTGCAAATGTTATTCGAATTAAGTATGCTTAAAAGAAAGTTGTTGCTATTAATATCTTCAAATTTATTAATTTTGGAAATAGTAATGTGGAAAGATCATTGTGTCATATCCCCCCCCCCCCCTCTTTTTTTTTAAAAATTGTGACTGAGCTGTTTGTGGATGTTAAAAAGGTGACCTAGATCCAACAAATAGGTTAATGGCTATCTCAGTTTTTGTCTTCTTTACTTGGCCAGGACGTTAATTGTTTTGAAGAGTTTCCAATGCTGAAACATCCTCTAGTGTCATGACATGCGTGGACCTCTAATCTAAAGAAAATATCATTTGTTATGCTATAATTTTAATTTTTCGTTTCTTATATTTATAAAGTCTATTAGGGTTAACAACTTGAAAATTTTATGATTTCTCATCATTTTACAGGTCACGCTTTTGAAGCCCGAATCTACGCTGAAAATGTTCCCAAAGGATTTCTTCCAGCAACTGGAGTTCTTCATCATTATCATCCTCTACCAGTTTCGTCAACAGGTGAAGTTCCTATACAGTATGCAAGGTCAAGACTCTTGGATGTAGAAAACAATTACCTTAATCCACATATTGGAGAATGGTCTTAATAGTAAAAGGCCACATTGAAGGAGTTGTGTCAGATTGTTAGGTAGTCTCTTTTTGCTGATTCTCCTTTGAAGGATTGTAAGTCATGGTTGTTTCCATCAGGCAATGCTAACCATTCTTCAATTTGATAACCTGTCTAAGTGTCCATCCATTTTTGCACTTGGAAAGAGTAGAGAAAATAGGATAATTCCCCTTTTATTGTTCTCCCACTTGCTGCTTGTTTTGAGCTTTTTCTATTTAACAGTTCGGGTTGAGACTGGTGTTGAACAAGGAGATGTTGTTAGCATGCATTATGATCCTATGATTGCAAAGCTTGTAGTATGGGGAGAAAACCGTGCTGCAGCACTAGTCAAATTGAAGGATTGCTTGTCAAAGTTTCAGGTATAAAATCCTTTTTAAGAATTTCTGTTCTAAACTTAGTGCAAAAGAATTCATATTTATCTCTCTGAGATATTCCCACTTATGAACTTGTCCCCAGTTATAGTGAGTACTTAGTGCAAAAGAATTTATATTTATTTCTCTGAGATATGCCCACTTATGAACTTGTCTCTGGTTATAGTGAGTACTTAGATGATCTTCTCACCTCTGCATGGTCATAGTTTAACATGGAAGCATAATACCAAGGAATGTTCTTTTAAATACCTCTAATTGTAGACGAAAATTGTATAATGAACAGTTTGGAGATGCTTGATAGTTCTTCATGTTGAATTTTTTTTTGGATGTAATGCTGCCGAAATTATGCTGTTTCATTGGCACCTTTTGTCTTTTCTGGATTAATTTGCTGGTTTCTTTGTAGATATTTGTTGCCTCTTATGTGACAGTTTCTACATGTTGGTGAATTTACTATTAATTTAGTCAGCATATTCTCTAGCCAATGTTGTCTTTAAGATGTTTGTTAAGCTTGTTTCAATTGTTCTCATCATTTGTTCTTTGGCAGGTTGCAGGGGTGCCAACTAATATCAATTTCTTACAGAGACTTGCTAACCATAGGGCATTTGAAGAGGGCAATGTAGAAACACATTTTATTGAACACCATAAAGATGACCTCTTTGTTGATCCTAATAATAAAGTAATTTCTAAGGATGCTTATGATGCAGCTAGACTCGGTGCAAACCTGGTAGCTGCATGTCTTTGTGAAAAGGAACGATCTGCTTTGCAAGAAGGTCACTCTGGTAAGTTGATGCTTCAGTTTTGGTCTTGGAATCAATAGTACTTGTTGCTTATCATCATGTAATATTTACATCTTGAATTGTGTTTAGGGGGCCCAAGATTACTTCCCATATGGTGTGCACATCCTCCATTCAGAGTCAATCATCGTGCTCAGAGTACCATGGAACTTGAGTGGGAAAATGAATATGATAGCAGTAGTTCAAAGCGATTAATGCTTTCTATCACTTATCAGCCAGATGGGAAATATTTTATTCAGGTTTTTACCAACCTAAAGTGCAAGCTACATGTTAAAGGATGATTTCAGTAGCCAGTATTTGAAGTTTCTTGTTTCAGAGTGCATTTCTTCTCTCTCTCTCTCTCTCTTTGGTTTGCTCCTTTTATTTTAATTGTGTTACACACTTACACTGCCTGCCAAATGTTCCATTTTCTTTTGATGTGATTCATGATTTTGTACCACCATATACAGATTGTGGAAAACAGTGCCCACAGTTCAGAAGTCAAAGCATCACATCTGGGCAACAATAGTTTTAGAGTGAAGGCTGACGGTGTAACCATGGATGTTAGTCTAGCCATTTATATCAAGGTGAATCCATTTTCTGCAGCCATCTTTAAGCAATCATCTGATTTGTACATTTTAGGTTGTCACTGTTTTCTTCTACATGCCCCTTCTATCAGAATTTGAAGTGTTGATATTTGGTTGGGCATGAGGGCCTTGGTCTTTGACAGTGATGAATCCTTGGTTTTTCAAACCTACCTGTGGCCAATCTTATGACCATGTGAAGGATTCATTTAACTTTGGAAATACCTTGTGGCTCTCATAAAGCCGCCAGGCGAAAGAAATTATTCCGGGAACTTTTCTCACTTCCTAAAAGACTGGAGACTTAGGTGCATTCACAACAATACATCTATGACTAGAGAATTGGGTATAGGACGAATAGATTTTTATATGGTTATCATCTTTCTAATAGATAATGATATTATAATCAGTAGTTATTGGATATGTTTCTCTGACTTTTCATTTATCTTAAAGTATCTGTGTTGGATACTTATTCACCACCTCAAAGTGTACAGGGTATAAGAGTATGCCCATCATTTTGTAAGGTAATTTTGTAAGGTAAATGTACCATTTTCAGATAGACCATGTCTGACCTATATGATATACCCAAGTCCAGGCAACATGGTTTATTAGGTGTAGTAGACATGCTTAGGTATGATCTAGCATAACTAAAGTGAGAGCAGAAAAGTCTTACTTCACTCTTTCTCTGTGGTAAAATGATGTAAAATCTTATAATGTTGGGTTGCAGGATCAGATGAAACACATACATATATGGCATGGACCACACCACCATCATTTTAGACAGAAACTGGGCCTCGAGTTGTCTGATGAAGATGAAATGCAGCATAAGACAAGTTTCGATACCACAAACCACCCTCCTGGGACTGTGGTGGCACCCATGGCTGGTTTAGTGGTAAAGGTTCTGGTGGAGGATGGGGCAAAGGTGGAAGAAGAGCAACCTGTGTTGGTTCTAGAAGCAATGAAGATGGAGGTTTGTACAACAGTAGCTCCAACATTATGTCATTTTTGCTTTTCACTTATACTGAGAGTTTCTTTATTTGACAGCATGTGGTAAAGGCAACAACTGGTGGTTATGTTCAAGGACTTAAAGTCAAAGGTGGGCAACAGGTTTCAGATGGTTGTGTTCTCTTCAGAGTGAAGGTTAGTTTTTTTTAATTTTGCACTTGACATGGATAGTTTTAGCTCCACAGCATTTAATTCTTCATACGAGGTTGTGACCTGTCTGTTTGGTTACCTGTATCGAATTAGCTTGCCTCTTGAGCTTGAATATGCATTATAAGATAAATTGGTATATATACATTCAATTTCCTTTGATTTTCATGTACCGACCATCTTACGTAGTATCTGATGAAGTCTTGTTTTTGGCTCTCTCTATTATTCTTGCTTCATCCTTGGAACTTATTTTAAGTGGTCTACATTGCTAATCCATCAAAAATTTTTTCTTTTTTTAAAAAAAATTTATACTAATAGGTTGTACTCTTTATTCTACTGTTTTAATGCATTTCCAATGGCGAGTATATGTGTGAAAACTTGAACTAACCTGTGGTTATTTGTTAAATTATTAATCCCCCATGTAAAAACGTAATTTTTAGGGTATCACTCGCTAAATTTTGTTTCTGCTAGTTCAACACCATCTGAAGATTTGTAACTTGGCTGCACAAGTTAGGGAAATATTTAGTCAGTTCTTTATTAGTCATCAAACTGCCATAGTCAATTGATTGATAATTTTATTTACGCGTGCGGTTACAGTGTTTAAAATAGAGTTGAAAAAGATTCAAATATAGGCTTGTTTAATAGAACATGACTAAAATGAAAATTGTCTTTACTTGGCCAGGAATGAGTAGAATTCATCTTGAAGTTGGGTTTTCTTGGCCAAGCAAATTTATGCAGCTGCTGGTGTCTTCATTTTTGTTCTAAACCACCCAAAATATAATGTATAATTGGTAAGCCCTGTTCCTTTTATCTTTGATAATTGGATATTGTAGTATCTAATTTGAGCCAATCTGTAAGCATAAATGCAATGTGGGATTGCATAATCCTCTGCTACATAAAAAGTGATTTGCTGCAATCATGCTAATCTGATTACCACATCATACTGTGAGAGTTGTTGAATACTTTTATGACCATAAACATCATCATCATCATCTTACATATGGAGTAATGTTGTTCTTCTATAAACCACAACTGGCTTTGGTCGACACAGATTTGTTTAATATTCCGTATGGGACATGGCAATGTCACGCATCATTCATTTTTACATCCAAAGGACACTCCAAAGGACTACGGCACCACATTTCTATAATATATAGTTAATGAAATTAGAAAGTTAAAGGTGCTACACTTTTTCAATTTTTATTTTTTTATAAATAAATTTCGGAAAAAAAATTAATAATGCTCCCAAATACTCTTCTTTGAAGCCATCCAAGGAGTTTGTAAAGGTTGTTTTGTTTGTTCTAATATCTAATTTGGGATTTAGTGCTGTGCCTGCACCTGCTTTACCAAAAACACCCCTTGGCCATCTTCGTAGTTCAAGTTTTGTGCTTTTTTCCTTTAATATGAACATTCAAGTGCAACTATTTCTAACAAATGAGTTCAAATCTTCTGTTTTCAAAAATAAAAATAAAAAGTTGTGTTTTTAGATCTTATTATTATCAATTATATCTGATAAAATCCCCTTTCAAAATATTGGATTTGATTCATTTGAACTGGATAAAGAGGATTAAGACCTTAATACATATTTTTTTGTAAAACATGGAAAAGGGCAAAAGTTGAGTTTCAGGTTCTTACTTAATAAAGAAAACTTCCATTTTGTGTAGAGTGATTAAAATTAAATGACAACATATCATAAGTAAATTGGAGATTTAAATTAATTGCTTGATGTAATTAATTAATCATAAAAAATATTTAATAAATTTGAAATTCAAATATTTACTTTTGCAATCATATCTCATGTTTTCAGATTATAACTTCCTTTAAAAAATCCTAAGCGTACAATGACTAAATAAAAACAAGTGGATGTAACAGAAAGTTAAAACACAAGTAGAAAGGTATGAAACATGTGCTTATGGAAAAGAGTGGTGGGGGCATTATGGTAAAAATCAGAGGAATCGATATTCCCATCCATGGAAGATCTTAAAATACCGGCAAATCCGTTAAATGGACAGGTAAATGGACAGGTAAATACCAGTGTATCCTTGTTCTTCTTAATTTCTTATTTTGAAACAGTCATGCCCTCTTAAATCCAATTCAGGCCACAACCGAACCCTCCTCCCAATTTTTTTTTCCTTTTCCCTTTTAAATTTTTTATAAATAAAATTCTTTCTGCTTTCCTTCTCCATTAAACCCTACTTTTTTTTTTTTTACTCTCCCAAATAATCATCCATTTATAAGAAACCTCCCTTTCTTTTCACATTTTCCAGCTGAAAACCATTGTTTTCTGGATCCATTTTCTTTCGCTTGAGAATTCCATTGTTTTTTTTTTTTTTTTTTGGGTTGTTTTTATTTGTTTTTCGTAAAAAGAAAAAAATGGCAACAAGCAATGATGAGGGAGCTGAAGCTGTTGCAAAAACAGAGACATCCCAAACAGGGGAAAGGGGCTTGGGGACTATAGGAAACCTTAGCAACAATAAGGACATGTTTCTAAGAGCAGATAAGGTAGATTTCAAGAGCTGGGATTTGCAACTGGATAAGCACTTGAGCAGGGCTTGGTCTAGGGACAAACATATTTCAACTATGACAAAGAAGGAAGAGTGGGAAATTGATTTGGCTAAACTTGATATAAGGCATGTTTTAGCTCATGGGACTTATGGCACCGTGTACCGTGGCGTTTATGATAGCCAAGATGTTGCAGGTATCACATTTATATACTTATGTTGCCAAAATTCTGAATCCATCTTTTTATCTTGTTCACCATCGACTGCTATTTTTGCCCCAAGAAGAGAGTTTTTTTTCTGTATGCAACCTTTATACTGATATAAAGATGTAGTTTTTATTACTTTTGACTCGCTTTGATTTGTTCAATTATGATTTCTGTGTTGTTTAAATGTACCCTGGAAAGTGAATTTTCTAGGAGTAGCAGATGATAATGTAACAACTGATTCATATCTTGAGGTTCTGAGTTCTGATTTTAAGCCTAGGATCATATGTATAAGACAGGATACGTTGTGTAATAAGAGGTTCATGCATGAAGCTTGAGGTGAGTCACAGGATGTCTCATGACTAGCATCAGTTCTACTAACTTGACCATAAGTTTATATCGCTTTGAGGTATAACTTTTATAAAAAGATATCCTCCAGCGTTTTGTTCTTTAAATGATGGTGTAGTGAAAGGTGTATGTTTTGGCAAATTCACTATTAGCAAAGAAAAAGCTTTGACATACTAGGAAATTTTCATTCTGTCTAGATGCAACAAATCAGTGCTGAATGCTTGCTATAACTGTCTGAATGAAGCTTTACATTACAACTTGCTCATTTTCTGTGCAATTTATAGAGCCATAGGACCTCTTTCTTTTCACTGTGAAATTAGAAAATAATCCTGATTTCAATGACATTTGCTTCTGCGACAAAACTTTAGGTCAAGAACAACTTATGACCCTTACCTCTTGTCCCTTACATCTGCTTGGTGTAGACAGCTTATGCAGAGTTGCCATGAGGCTCCAAAATTGCTTTATATTTTTCCTTACAGAGTTCTTTAGATGGCATTACTAAAATTTTGAATTAACTTTAGGCCATCAGAATTTTAGTTGTTCTGAATGCCAAATATTTGTTTTAAATGGTATCTTTAATCTGTAGTCTGATGGGGGAGTAGCTATACTATTAGTGCCAAGACTTCAGTAAGTCATGTTTACTTTGGGATGCTTGATTCTTACATGTGTCTAGGGGCAGTAATGTCAAATGATTGTCTCTACATGACTTGCTGCCTACATTCTGGCCCTATTCAATTCCCAGTAAAACATCTTCGTTGCAACATGGTAAACAAAATCATGCTCCACCTTGCTGATATCCTAACTGCAAAGAGTTCTTAATTTTTTAGTGAAGGTACTGGATTGGGGGGAGGATGGGATTGCCACAGCTGCTGAAGCTGCTGCTCTTCGGGCATCATTCCGACAAGAGGTTGCTGTTTGGCATAAGCTTGACCATCCAAATGTTACGAAGGTAAAACCAATTTATACATCTTGTATCGGCTGCAGTTAAGTATGGGAAGATGACTCTGCTTTTTTGTTTTCCTTTTTTCTGAGCTTCTTTTAATGTTATACTGTTGTTGTACTTGCAACACCATGGCATACTTCTTTAAATATTTTGGATTTCGATGTTCAAATCAAGAATAAGCTGCCTCTTGCAGTTTATTGGAGCTTCAATGGGAACTTCCAACCTTAAGATCCCAACCAAAGATGCAACAAGTGAGAATAATAATTCTTTTCCTTCCAGAGCATGTTGTGTTGTTGTTGAGTACCTTCCAGGAGGAGCATTAAAGAATTTTTTGATCAGAAACAGGAGGAAGAAACTTGCCTTTAAGGTTGTGATTCAAATTGCTTTGGACCTCTCTAGGGGGTGAGTAATTTTTCAGGTAATTAGGATTTCCAATGTTTACTATTTGGAAAAATAATGGATATATTTTGTTCAACTTTTGCAGTTTGAGCTATCTTCACTCCAAAAAGATTGTACACCGTGATGTCAAGACAGAAAATATGTTGCTAGATGCTCGTAGAACGTTGAAAATTGCTGATTTTGGTGTTGCTCGAGTTGAAGCTCAGAATCCTAGAGACATGACTGGGGAAACAGGAACTCTTGGTTACATGGCTCCTGAGGTATTTACTCCTTGGAGATCCGTCGATTACATTATTTGTTTCTCCAATAATTATTATAACAATGCAAACTTTTCTGCTCAAGTGCAACTAAAATTGGATCAAATAAATGACTGAAGCTTGCTCTTTTTTTTTTCCTGGCTATCAGTTCTGTTTTCTCCAAAAAATGAGAATCTAATGCAATGACCTTTGTAGGTCCTTGATGGGAAGCCTTACAATAGGAAATGTGATGTCTACAGCTTTGGCATATGCTTATGGGAAATATACTGCTGTGACATGCCTTATGCTAATCTTAGTTTTGCTGAAGTTTCATCAGCAGTGGTACGACAGGTATGAGTTAAAAATTCAAATCTTATATGATTTGCTAATCTAACTTGAAGCATCAATCTTTTGGCATGGCCTTTACATAAGTGATATTTATGATATTTCCAAATTCCATTTTTTTAACTCTTGCATACCTCGTGGTCATCTGGTTAGCTTAAATAGTCCAGTTCTTCTTTTTGAGTATATTAGCATCAACCGCTGCTTTAGAAGTTACCTGATTTTCTTTCTTATCTTTGCAAATGATCAAAATTTATGCCGACCTTTTACATCCTTTGCTTTCTTTCAATAAACTTTTACATCCTTTACATCATAATTATCCTTGCTGCACCTGCATTATGGATACATCATTGAAACATCACATACGTAACTTTTACATCCTTTAAATCGGTGGATTTTTGCACTTGAATCTGTACTCCTACCTCTGAGAATTTTGGTTGTAATGTCTGGTGGTATATATGTTAATGATATTGGAGATTGCTGTCTGCAGAATTTACGACCAGAAATTCCTAGATGTTGCCCAAGTTCATTGGCAAGCATCATGCGAAAATGTTGGGATGCACACCCTGAAAGACGTCCCGACATGGATGAGGTGGTGAGATTGCTAGAAGCAGTAGATACAAGCAAGGGAGGTGGCATGATACCTGATGACCAAGCTCCTGGCTGTTTCTGTTTCGTCCCCCGTGGCCCCTGATAACTTTTAGCTCATTCATTTAATTTATGGTACGTATTTTTACTTGAGAGAGAACGTGAAGTGGTTGATTCATTGTTCAGCTCTAGCTGGTCTTTCAATAACGAGATCATTGTTTCCTATGTTGCACATGAAGTCATGAATATAATCAATTAAAGACCATGTAGAAGCCGTGGTTCGATCTTTCAATTCAATGCATTGTTTATTACAGAGTAGTATGCAAAGGTCAATATTTCGTATTTAATTTTTTACTGGCATGAATGCCTAGACTAGGGGCTCAAATGGTTACGTTTCTTCCCAGTAGCTTTGTAGTACGACAGTGAGAATGGAAGTTAAAGCTGAATTTTACAGGGTCATTGAGAGGTTTTTGTTTAAAGATAAAAGAAGAGAAGATTGAAATAAAAACATTGCTAAATTGGGTGTCATTGGAGGACAAAAAACGCCAGGAATAACGGCCCTCTGGGTCAGTGTAAAAGATAAGATGAATGAAACCGAATCAAAACTTTCTGATATTCAGATACAGATGTTTCACTAAAACCTGAGTGCCAAGAAACTTTTCAATTGTTCCTAGAAGATTTTAGTGATCTTTAAAGTGCAATATAGATTGGTGGTGTAGTTGGATAGCAACTAGAATGATAAGGAACAAATGCTTTTGTTGTTTGTGCTGCACTTGGGAGGATTATGAACGATAGAGAATCTAATTCCAATGGAGGTTCTCACCACTTCTTTAACTTCATATTTTTGCTGTTCAAAACCAGTGGTCCTGTTCAAGTTGCTGTTGGGAGATTTGAAGCTAAAACTTCAAAAACACTCAAAATTGAATCAATGATCATTTTAGCAATTTGTGGTCTATTGGTTAGTATGATGACTCTTTCAAGCTTTCTTCAATTATCTCTGGACCTTGCAACTACTGAACTAAAAATTACCATCGGTGAGAGTGATTCTCATTTCCCGCCAAACGTAGGATAATGATGACACAAGTTTGGATGAGACAATGCTGACTCATATTTGCTTAATACAAATAATTATATCCAGTTTAACTGCGTGCTTACGGTAGCCAATGGTGTTCTGTTCATGAATGAAGAGCACAAAATAATTAAGAGTGGTTTGCAATACTTTTTAACTGTGTACATGCTTTCAGTAGCCAATGGCTTAATTTAACATCACACTGCTTTTGATTAAGCCTTATTTACTCTCAATTTTTAGAAGAGTAATGCATGTTATATTACTTTTCATATTTATGAATAAAATTTTTAATTTGATACTTTAATTTTGCTTCTATCAATATTTTATGTAATTATCGGTATTAAATAATATGATAACGTAATTAATTTTAATTAATGAAAATATAACACGTGCCATGATTTTATTTGTTAATTGCTTGTTATGTCAGCATATTATTAAAGGAATTGATGTATGTGATAAATGAAATAATAAAATAAAAGTGAGTACCACATTGTGAATTTTTTTAAAAGCTATAAAAAGTAGTATAATTCAAAAACCAAATTACGTATTAAAGAATGATAATATTTAATATTTTCAATTTGCTTTAATTATTTTTCATTTTATTTTTTCAGTCAAAAGCTTGGCTCTTTATCAAGCATATATAACAATATTAGAGTTTTGATGGAGATAAATAAGATAATTATGTTTGGTGCATAAGATAATGGATATAATAGGATGATAATTATTTTATATTATTTTTATTTTATATCTAAAAAAATAAGATTATAAAAAAAATTAATTATTCTCTTGATATAAGATAATTTAATTCTTTTAAAGTAGAAATGATTATTTTTAATATATAAGATTAAACTTATGTATCTTATTTTTTTAAAAAAATTATATAAATAATTTAAATTGTATAATTTTAAAGAAAGATAATTTTAATCAATAAATAAATTATCTTATCTTAATTTTTGCATACATCAAACATAAAATAAAATGATATTATTTAATTTAATTCTATTTATAATATTATTTTATTTATTTTATCATATTTTATGTACTAAACACATCTTTATAACATTATATCATAGTGAAAATTTTAAATTTTATTATCAAAATTAATAGGAAGATATATATAATAAAAATAACAAAATATTTAATAATTTTTAACTCATTTATAAAATAAAAAAAAATTAACTGTTAATGTATAAAAAAATAAACTCTAAAATTAGTTACAAAGCTCAGTACATTTGTGTTCCGCAAATTGAAATGGTCATTATCGTAATATCGACAACTTCCCGGGGCCAAAGGGTAAAACTGATTTTCTCCATAAATTGGTGTTGGAACTCCTCTAGACTCCAGTTATTCCACTTCGACCAGAAAAACATATGGTCCCTACTAAACGGTTATAAACTCGCCCTTTATCAGATGGAAGCTCGTAACATCCCAAAGACGCCGTCATTGATGAGGGAATTCCTTCGCCAGGTGGGAGGAGTCGCCATTATCGACGGTGGATTGGCTACGGAGCTGGAACGCCACGGCGCTGACCTGAACGATCCCCTCTGGAGTGCCAAATGCCTTCTCACTTCTCCTCACCTTATTCGCTCCGTAAAATTCCCTCTCGCCCTCAAGATTATTTTTCTGAACCTTGATTTTATTTTATTTTAGTTCTCTTTTTTTTTTTTTTAAATTCAATGGGGGTAATAATATGGAATTAATTTTACGTTAATGTAAGGAAGTTTTCAATTTGGATGGAAGGTAAGAGGATTGGCATAGCAGTGGAAAAGAAGTGGTTGAAATAGGTCTTTTTGGGAATTTCAACTGTTATGCAACTGGCTCTATAATTTATTTATTCACATGGAACTGAATTATACTCTGATTATTTATAATTTATAAACAAAAAAAAAGTGTTTTGATTTTGGTATGGAGGCAGTATATACACACTTTTTTAATCATTGATTTCATAGACCACAGTGTAGAGGTGGTCTCTGGTGAGTCAGGTAAGTGGCATTTAAGGCTTATGAAAGTTGTTTGGATACAAGATACCGTAGATTTGATTTTGGAAATTGGAGCGAGGTATGGGCGGACTCTAACGACTTATTACTGGACCTTGTCACTGAGTCAGTTTTTGTTTCTATTGTTTTGATTATCATTTTACTGCTACGAATAAGCTAAATGTTATGAATGAATGCTTGAGTTTGGACCACCATCTTGGGTATTTAATATTGTGGTGAAACTTGAAAGAATTTGACCTTTTTTAGTTTGTAGTCCTTGTCTTTATATCTGTACTTGCTCTATCTCTTTCTCTCAGATAATATGAAAAGGGAAATCGAGTGATGACGATATTGGGGTTCGGATGTTTTAAAAGCTTATCTAGGAGAGCTTAGTTCTGCTGTAGGCTTTGAAAAGTGAAAACCCACGTAGTAAGTTTCAATGACCAAAAACTGCTTGCCAGTTGTCTTTAAAAAAAATGAGATGTGGGTTTGCATTAGTCAACACAATTTCAAGATTAATCATACTATTCTAATTATTAAATGTATTAGGAGTTAAGAGACTGAAAGTAGAATACTGTCAGACAATTATGCAAGTCCAAAATAACAAGAATAATGTGAAAACTTTTGGATTGCTAAAAGTTGAGGTGTTGAAAAAGCAAGCCTTATTATTCCTTTTCTGTTTTGCAGTTGTTCAGTAGACTAGGATTCATCTGGTCAGATCAGAAGATCCATAATTTTATGTATATATTTATGTCAATGTAACATCATTGGATTGAAAATTTTGTTATTTCAAGTTGTTCATAGTGAACAGCTCCAATCATTGAATTTCTAGTGTTTCTGTAACTTTTCAATATCTCCTAAAAGTGTAGTGGTTTTGAAATAGATCATATGTGATGTTAGTTGCTTCTCTAGATCATTTACCAAACTAGTTTGAGCAGGTACACCTTAACTACCTTGAAGCTGGTGCAGATATTGTTATCACAGCATCCTATCAGGTATTAAAAACACACACACACTCTCTCTCTCTCTCCACAACTAATCTGAGTTTACATATCTTTAACAGGCCACCATTCAGGGGTTCGAAGCAAAAGGCTTTTCTAGAGAACAAAGTGAAGCCTTGCTTAAAAAAAGTGTGGAAATCGCCTTTGAGGCTAGGGATATGTATTATGAAAGATGTAAAAGTTCTTGTGATGGAGTAGGAGATGGTACAATACTCAAAATTCGTCCCATCTTAGTTGCAGCATCTGTAGGCAGCTATGGGGCTTATTTGGCTGATGGGTCTGAGTACAGGTGTGTCAACCATCTATGCAAATATTATTAAGTAATGTTTAATCCAATCCAACTTTGTTGCTCCTAGACTCTCTGCCATGATCTGTTATCCTTTTGTGTAAATGAAAATCATTATATTTGGAGTAAATACTAACATGTTTCCTTCTTTCTGTGTTGTTATATTCTTTATACCAGTGGGGACTATGGTGATGCAATGACGCTAGAAGCTTTGAAAGAGTTTCATCGTAGAAGGGTTCAGGTCCTGTTAGAGGCAGGACCTGACCTAATAGCATTTGAAACAGTTCCGAACAAGATAGAAGCTCAGGTATTGCTGAACATTTGTTGGTTCTAAATAAAAGCTTTTTCTTTAAGTAAGAAGAGTGTATGGGACAAACCCAAGTTGCTAATTGCTTCATGCCTTCCATGCCCTAAGGTTTCCCAAATTGGCTAGTATGGTGTCTGCCTTTTGATTCAATGCTCAATTTCTACTTTGTTGTTTGATTTGTTTCATCATAATGTTAAGATTTTTTTTTTTTTGGGGGGGGGGGGGGTTTAATGCAGGCTTATGCTGAACTATTAGAGGAAGAAGACATAAAGATTCCTGCTTGGTTTTCTTTCAACTCAAAAGATGGCATCAATGTAGTTAGTGGTGATTCTTTGCTAGAATGTGCATCAATTGCTGAATCATGCAAGCAAGTTGTTGCTGTTGGAATCAACTGCACGCCTCCTAGATTTATCCATGATCTGATTTTAGCTATTAAGAAGGTTTTGATTTTAGCTATTAAGTTAACAATCGTTCTAGTTGAATTATTATACTCTTTTTTTTTCAACCTTTAGTTGGATGTGGTGTACTTTGCTTTGCTTTCTATTTATTTATTTTTTGGCACTATACTCTTGTCTAATGCTGAGAAATTCCATTGTGTAATCTTCTTTTACAATATTTGTATCTGTTTTTTTGTAATGCTAGACAGTTACAGTAATATGTTTCATGATCATATTATTAGAATGTGCATATCGTATATTGGTGGATACTAATGCAGACAAACTTTTGTGAGACATTTTGAAGCTGCTCAGACTGGGTCTCTCCTTTTTTATTTCTTTTTATATGTTTTAGGAATTTGTTCCTATAACTTTGTAAGCAAGAGATTTTGATGAATTGTGCAAACTTATGTGGTTAATAATTTGTGCAGGTCACTACCAAACCTATAGTTATATATCCCAATAGTGGTGAGAGTTATGATGCAGATCGGAAGGAATGGGTGGTGAGTTTGTGTTCTTTTTCTTTCTCTGAATGAAACATCCCTTGCTTTAAAAAAAAAAGGTCTAAACTCTGAAGCAACAATTTATTTGAATAAAAAAGGTCTGATTAAAGAATAATAACTAGAGTTTTAAGTTGTTGCAAAAATGATATCAGGAAGCATCTCTTGATTGCTAAGTCTAAACTTAACAACATTAAATCAAGTGGTACCACTTACTTGATTCCTGATACTGTTTTTTTCTAAGTTGTAGACTCTGAGTGATAACCACTTTAAGTTGTTTGGTTGTGATAGCAGGATAGGTGAAATCTCAAATTTTGATCCCGACTTGGGTCCTGATCTCTTCTGCAACTTTAAACTACAGTTAACAAACTTCAATTTCCATTTTGCTTTGAAGAAAATAAAGGAATGATAAAGGAAATTGCAAAATATTGAGAAAAAAGGAAAGCTGAATTATGTTGATTTTCTTCAATTCGGTTGTTCCTGTGTCCAAGTGGAGCCTTCATGTTCTGCATCATTGTTTCTGGGACATGCCATACCAGACTTATCTGCATCATTGTTTCTGTGACAGGTAAACACCGGAGTGTCAGATGAAGATTTTGTCTCCTACGTAAACAAATGGTGCGAAGTTGGGGCTTCCTTTGTCGGAGGTTGTTGTAGAACTACTCCAGATACTATAAGAGCCATATACAGGACACTTTCCCACAGATCTCCCGCTGCACCCATGCAGTAATTATAACCAACAGCTTGATTATATATGCAACCGGGATGCTGAGGTGTCTTAACTTAAAGTTTCTAACTTCTTTCCCATTTTAGTCTGAAGAGAATACCTGCCACAAGCTTTGCCTAACATCTGTTGGTGAATTGCTGTTGTAGCTGCTGAGATTTTCGTTTCGTGACGGGCATGCGGCTTGTCAGTTTTGGGCATTAGAAGTGATAACAAATCTGAGGGATAGAGTCTTGTTTCCTGAGTTTCTCTTTGTTCTAACTAAAGTTCGTTAAAGGTTAAATTTTTGTTCAAACAAAACAAAGCAGTGCTTAGCCTAAAATAAGTTTGTTGGTTTTTATCACTCCGAGAACCTGCTTTTTATTTTTCTAGCTGATTATTCCTATTTTTATCTTACATAGTATGATTAGGTTTAGCCAAGAGTAAACTGAAAGAAAAGGGTATAAATTGAACAAGAAGGTAAGCGCCCTTGTTCATCAACTTCACTCCAATATAAGCAAAGAACTAAATTAAAGGACTCTAATTTTATAATTATCGAATCATAATAAAAATTATTTTAGGGGTTTATTATTTGTGTGGGATTTATATAAAATTATGATGGATTTTATATTATTTTGAATTGTGATTGATTAATTATAATATAATATGCTTTCACTTGAGGAAATTTATATGTAGAAATTTGGATTTTTGTGATTTTTATGTTAAAAAGAAAATATTAGTATTTGTTCCATAAACAACATTTTTTTGGGGGTTTTCCTTTTGTAGAATTCATCAATAAAATTAGAAAACGTAAGAGAAAGGAATTTTTTATAAAGGAGATCTTGAGATAAAAAAAAGTTTTATTAAGTGTTGAGATTTGCAGTATAAATCTGCTGGCTGTCAATTTATAAAAGGTTAGATGAATTAACTGAAAAAAAAAAAAAAAAAAAAAAAACCCTTTTAACACAACGAAGAGGTTTGCTTTTTCTCCTCTTTCGGTTTCTAAGAGCCCAACCCAAATTTATTGGTTAATCGAAACTTTGGAAATTATTCATCAGTTGGAGGCCCAATAAACCGATTCTTCGCGTCAGATTGGTGCTTAGAACCCTAAAAAACCTCAAATTCCTTGCTCCCTCCCGACATCCGCCCGCTAAAGCTCCAACTTTTCAGGAAAGTGAAGTATGTGTTGTGTTCATTCCCGTCACCATATACCTTCCCGATGGAGCTTGACTTGAAGACTGATACTGAAAATGGTTCCCTCCCTCATTCTGGTTAAGCAAGGAGCTGAAGCTGTAAGTTAAAAATTGCACTCTTTTTGCTCTGATAAAACCGATTTCGTTGTAAAATCATTGTTTCGCTTTTCAGAGAGTTTTCGAGTCAGTATTCGTGGGGAAAAGATCATTCATCAAAGAACGTTTCTCCAAGATATACAGGCATCCTTCTCTTGATTCTAAAATCAATCTCAAGCGTTTAAACGCGGTTCGTTTTTCCTTTTTCCCAAACCAATTTTCCCTCCTTTTTTCGCCTTTTTCTATTAAAAAAATCAATGAATTTGAGGTTTGTTTTGTTTGGAGCTGCAAGCTAGGTGCATGAAAAAGGCTCGACGACTTGGCGTTTCGACTCCAGTTCTTCACGCCGTGGACCCTGTGCTCCATACACTGACTTTTGAGTACGTGGAAGGTCCTTCCGTTAAAGATATTTTCCTTGAATTCGGGCTTAGCGGCGTCGTTCAAGAACGTTTAGATGATATCGCCTCTCAGATTGGCGTCGCAATTGGCAAACTGCACGACGTTGGACTTGTTCACGGTGACCTCACCACCTCAAACATGTTAATCAGAAATGTAACTAATCAGCTTGTCAGTGGTTATTTTATCGTTAATTAGCTTTTAGTCTTTGTAGTTTAACGGCTCAAATGCTTTTTTTCTTTTTAGGTCCTTATCGATTTTGGTCTGAGCTTTACATCAACGCTTCTAAAAGACAAAGCTGTGGACTTATATGTCCTGGAACGAGCCTTGATTTCAATGCATTCTTCGAATGTGGTAAGAAACAACATTTATTTATTTTTAGTTTTGATGATAGTGTCAGAAGTCAAATTGTCATTTTCTTGTGCTGTCACATAGATTTAGTGATTCGTGTTTGTTTTTTATCAAATACATATAAAACATAAAAATTAATAAATTATAATTCTAGTAGACATGCTAAACATGAAAAACTTTTTTTTTTTTTTTATCAAAGGTTTTTGCTAAAATATTAAATTTCGTATCGTATCATCTTGTCATATTTAAAATTAGCAGCTCTCTTTGATACTGAAGACATTATATTTGAAATCATCAAATGCAAAACAAGGAGTGTTTTAGAACATTAGCGTTCACTTGTAACAAGAGTCTGTCAATTTTGTTGTGGCTTGCTTACCATGATGAATTTGAAATCCCAGCGAAATACTGGATTTACAAATAGTTTCACTGAGCGGTTGTGGAATTTAATGCAGATTCTAAGAGGGTCATTTTGAGTGAAAAATGTGTCAAGTTGGCCTGCTTTGCTAGGAAGTGAAATAGCATGTTGTCTCAGTCCTTTTTAAATTCAAATGAGACCAGAATCTTATCATCTTATGGGTGCTTAAACTTGATTCACAGATAAACCATATACTTGATGCATACAAGAAATCATCAAAGCAGTGGTCTTCCACTTTTAACAAGCTAGCTTAAGGTGCTAGGGTCTCTGATCCATTCCATGAGCCCTCCTTTCTTCTCTCTATTTTTAAGTTTAGAAGGGCCTTTACTGTTTACCCCCCCTACTGTATACCATCTCTGATCTCATTTCTTGTGTTCTTGTTTCACAATGAACCGCAGTGCGACAAATGGGCTGAAAACGCACCATGGTTGGATGAGCGACCTTCATAGATGGGTTATAAAGTACGAGAAATCTGTTAAGACTGATTAATGCAATGGAAAGAAAGGTATTTTCTGTATGTTGCTATTGTAATGTAATGGTGTACATATACATGATTTATTTCTACTTGGGATCATGTAGGTTCCTCCCCCCCCCCCCCCCCCCCCGGCTTTCAATTCTGAATGCCGTATTCCATTAGCTTGTCTTACTGTTGGATAACTTTTACCACATTCAAGTTACTAAAAACACAGTCATTGTAGTCAACTTTGATAATTGTCAGGGTTGGCAAAGATGCAAGGCTGAACTTGTAAAATGGTGGATCTTTCTGGTTCAATTTCAACCAGAGCGCCATTGGCTTTATACATATTTCAGCAAGATGATACTAGAAATGTTCTTAGAAAGAAAATTTTCTGGGCCAGCTTTGTGTTGACTTGGACCATTTTCTATCCATTAAGTCCAGGTCTTGCACTTGAATTGTTTAGCTCCTATTATGGGCCAAGGAAAAGTGGTAGTTGACTATTTGGTGCCTTGGACTCAATTCCTACTATCGGTCCAGCCCTAGTATATGGAATTTGTAAAACTTGATTTAGATTACAATTGAAGAAATTCATGAAGAAGATACCAAAAGAATGGATCTTAACTCTTGCCAAGGACAGGCAAGCGTGTATTTCACTCGTAATTTTTTTAAATTATAATTCTATAATTATTTAATTACAATAAAAAATTATGTAAGAATTTACTATTTATATAATTATGAATTTCAGAATTGTGAAGGTCTTGGTTAATTTTACCTAATTTATGATTGTAATACAATAATTGTAGGAAATATATTTTCAAAAATATTTTTTATTCAAGGAAATGAATTTATATTAAAAATAGTAAATATATTATATAAAATATTTTTAAAAAATTATTAACTAGAAATTTAAAAAAATTATGAGTTTTGAGTATAATAGAACTAACAAATTTCATATTCTCATTTGTAATAAAAAAACTATATTATATATACTAAATGTAAAATTAAAATCACTAAAAAGAATCTTTTCCCGCCAAGTTGTTAACCAAGCCAAGTAGTAACGGCCAACCAATCTTCCTCTCACTGATTGGATCAACAATTGCCTTAGAACACGCACGTGAAGCACCTAGGTTTCAATCTCCTTTTCTCCGACTCTTTCATCCTTTGCCTTCCACCGCAACGGCACTCTACTCGGAACCCATGCGCTGAAATCCTCTGTATGATCTCATTTTACGACCAGAAACCTAACGAATTGTTAGTAAATTTAAGAACAGTATAAGTAGTAAGAAAAAAGAAAATATGGTTTTGAAGCGTGAATAATACTATTTTAAAGGTAATTATGCCTATAGAATATAACAAAATCTTAAAACTCTTTAAATTAGAAGTAGTGAAATTAGTCAAGCAAAAATATCTATTTATAATAAATGAACATTCATCAATTAAGCCAATTCAAAAAATCATGACATTTTGTATAATCATATTTTATTCTTTAAATAAACTTTATTTAAATAGTTATGTTTTTTACTGTTCAAACATATTTATTCAGAATTAGTAATATTTCGAAATAAATAAAAAATAATAAAAATTTAAAAATTAAATCTATTATTATTATTATTATTATTATTATTATTATTATTATATATAGATTGAAAAGAGATTGGACAAATATGTGTTTACAATTGTCTTTCTTTATACATTGTTGAGAATTAGAAATAAGACGAAAATAGAAAGATGACTATTTTCTCCGGATGATGTTATAAATATAAACAACATTTTTTTTTTGAAAAGAAAATATGGAAGGTTTCTCTAAGCAGAGGTTTGATAATTTTTAAAATTTTAAAAGCTTGTTTAAGTAGAGGCTCGATAACTCTTGAAAATTTAAAAAGGCTTTTCTGACTAGAGACTGTGAAATTTTAAAATTTAAAAGGCTCCTCTGATTAAAAGCTATGAAACTTTAAATGGCTCCTCTGACGAGATGCAATGAAACTTTAGAATTTAAAAGACTCCTCTAACCAGAGGATATAAAACTTTAAATTTAAAAGGCTCCTCTGATCAGAGGCAATGAAACTTTAAATTTAAAAGACTCATCTGACCAAATAATGAAACTTGAAATGGCTCATTTGACCAAAGACAATGAAACTTTAAATTAAAATTTTGAGAGGACTTATAAATTATGCCCTTTGGTTTTACAAATCATGCCTAAGTTTGGAATAGTCTTCTAACCAGAGGCTTCTAAAATTAAAAGCTCCTTTGACTAGAAGCTATGAAACTTTGAAAAGAGCTTATCTAATTAGAGGCTATGGCATTTTAAAAAAAGCTCATTTGACTAGAGATAGTGAAACTTTAAATTAAAAAAGCTCTTCTGACCAGAGGTAGTAAAACTTTAAATGGCTCTTCTAACCAAAGGCAATGAAACTTTAAATTAAAAATTTGAGAGGACTTATAGATTATACCCTTTGGTCTTACAAATCATACCTAAGTTTGAAAGAGTCCTCTAACCAGAGGCTTTTAAAATTAAAATCTCCTCTGACTAGAGGCTATGAAACTTTGAAAAAAGCTTCTCTAACCAGAAGCTATAACACTTTAAGGAAAACTCATTTGACTAGAGATAATGAAATTTTAAATTAAAAATATGAGAACAATGCTATTTGAAAGATTTTTTTAAATAGAAGCCATAAAGTTTGAATGATTTCTCTAAACAGAGGCTACAGTATTTGAACGATTTCTCTAAATAGAGGCTACGATATTTGAACGATTTTTTAAAACAGAAGCCATGATGTTTGAATGATTCATCTAAACAAAAGGTTTACATTTTTTCTAATTTTGACTTTTCTTTTTGTTGGCCTTGGATTGTCCTAGACCCATAAATGCTATATGCGTGTATGAATGATATTTTCATGCTTTTGTAATGTCATGCAATGAATGATGATCATGATACAAATGAAGATACCATCTTTTTCTTTTTCATTTCATGTTATTTTTTTATCCTCGAAATTTCTCATTGTCTGTTTTCATTTTCTTTTTGAATCCCATGCAATTTAGCAACTGATTGTTCCTTACTATTTTGCTTATCATTTTAAATTTTTTTTCAAAATAATGTGTATGTCTTTCATGATCATTGTCACTCTTTCATCATTTTTTGAAATTCATGACAATTATAACACATTACAAATTTCTCTTTTTAATAAAAGAGACAAATGAAGGATAAACAAAAGTGTATTTTATTTTAGTAAAAGGAATAAGTATTTCATGCATTATCCAAAAAGATATAATAAGGAAAACAAGTAATCACATAACAAATATTCAAATAATCATGAACTAATTTATCATGGATTTTTGTCTGAAAACCTTTGATTGATGTCCCTTGACTTTTTGAAAACGCAGCAGGCCAAGCTAGCCCAATACCAATGAGATCTTTTGGCACATATTAAGAATTGGCTCACTCCATTCAATGCTTCTTTATCTAAGTCATCCTTTTAGGTTTTCAACTTAGATGTCTCTTATATTCATGTCACCTTTTCATTTTTTTTTTTAGGCATAATACTTATTTATTGTATCGGCATTGATTGTATTTGGCAAATCATCTCCATTCATTTTTTACAAGATCAATGCCTACCAGAGAATGCTTTCTTTACCATATATGGGATTTTCCAATTATAAGTCCATTTTCCCTGAAGGATCTTGTTAATTGGGAATAATCTTTTTCAAAACTAATTCTTCTTTTAAAAATCATCGAGGGTAAATTTTCTTATCATGAGCTTGGATCATTTTTTTTATACAGTTAACCATGGTAAAGTACAACTAGTCTTTTTTCTTTAATGAGATTTAACTATTCATAATAAGCGTGATCCCACTCGATTTTTTCCAACTCAACTTCATAAGAATGCGTAAAGAAGAAATTTCAACTTTAATGGGCAACATTGCCTCCATCTTATATACCGATGAAAATGGTGTGGCTTTTGTAGATGTGCGAATCAAAGTTCGATAAGCATGTAATGCAAATGATAGCTTTTCATGCCAATCTTTATACACATCTATCATTTTTTCAACAATTTTTTTATGTTCTTATTAGCTGCTTCAATTACCTCATTCATCTCAGACGATAAGGCATCGATTTGTGGTATTTGATTTTGAATTGAGCACATACCTCATTTATTATTTTATTATTCAAATTAAGAGTATTATCTGAAATAATCTTTTTTGGAAGTCATATTGACATATGATCTATTTCTTGATGAACTTGCAAACCACAATTTTGGTGACATTAGCATATAAAGCTACCTTTACCCATTTTGTGAAGTAATCAATCACTACCAAAATAAATCGATGTCCATTTGAAGCTTTCAATGTAATGGGCCCTATTACATCATTCCCTACATAGAAAAGGCTGAGGTGTTGACATAACATGCAAATATGTTAGAGGAACTTCATTTTGTCTGCATAAATTTGACATTTATGGCATATAGTCAGTGCGATCCTTTTTTATCGTCAATCAATAATATCTTACTCTAATGATCTGCGAAGTCATCATGTGATCATTTGCATAAATTTCACAGACACCTCTGTGGATTTCTTCTAGCAACTTTTTGACTTTAACAACATTCATACATCTTAATAATGTTTGGTCTCAATTTTTTTTATATAATTTCCTCACCCAAAAAGAAACCCATCACCAATCTTTTTAAAATTCTCTTATAATTCTCTAATATGTGTTTTAGGTATTGTTGATACTTGACATATTGTAATATGTCATAATACCATGGTTTCTCATCAACTTCTTCTTCCACATTTAAACAGTGAGCTAATTTTTTTGCAAACTCAACTTAATGGATTGAATTTAGGATTTCCATTTATCTTGAACATTGCTGCCAATGTAGTTAAAGCATCAATCATTTGTTTCTTTCTCAGGGTAAATGATGAAATCAAATATTTTTAAATTTTTTGATCAATTTTGATATGTACTTTTGGTATAAAACCAACTTTGAATCTTTGATTTCTCATTCTTCTCGCAACTGATATATGACAAGGCAAAATCTTCATAAACTTTCAATGTATGAGCCTTTCATTTTAATAATAGCTTGAAGACCTATAACACATACTTCATATTCTACCACATTGTCAGTGCAATCGAAACTTAGTTTTGCAGTGATCGGGTGATAGTCTTCTTTTGAAGATATAAAAATATTCCTATACCATACCTTAAAGCATTTGATGCACCATCAAAATACATTTTCCTTGCATTTTCATTAGGCTCTACTTCATTTATATGTAATACAGACATTAAGCTTTCATCAAAAAAATCAAATGTCATAGGCACATAATCTTTGTGAGTGCGTTTTGTAAGAAATTCGATAATAATGCTTCATTTGATTGCCTTTTAAGACACATATACAATGTCATATTCAAAAAGTAGCATTTAACATCTTACTATTCTTTTTGATAACGAAGGTTTTCAAAAATATACTTGATTAGATCTAACTTCGCAATGAGCCAACTGATATGATATAATATGTACTGTCCGAGTTGGCAAGCTGTCCACGTTAGTGCACAACACATCTTTTTCAATAGTGAATACTTAGACTTGTAGTTGATAAACTTTTTGCTAAGGTAGTAAATGACTTATTTTTTCTTTCCTGTTTTAACATCTTGCCC